AAACTAGTCCTTACCTTCTGAAGCAATGGTAGTCGGCTTATCGACTCAGGAATGTTAGCTCTATGCACTCATAGCGGCAAAACGCGGTACTACAAAAGCTCTGCCCACAAAAAACTTAGTTCGGTTTCTTTTGGGTACCCCATCGTATATTGACTGAATTTCAGAGATGAAGGTGTGTTCTATACATCCATTTTCTCTTACAGACCCTAAAATCTGGGGAACAGTTCTAGCCTCAAAACAGTGGATACCTGAGCAACAGTTCTTTAGATATGACATACGAACATTATCACAAGGAATCAGCAGAGACTTTTGTTAATCCATTGCAGTTAAAATTTGTATTCAATTGTATGTGAATATTTTCAGAAATCTAATTTAGAGTAGTAAATGATGCACCAAAATTTATGAACCATCTCAGAAATATATACGTGGTGTGTTCAAAAAGAATCGAACCTTCTTTTTTCCTGTGTAAACCGATGAAGCACAGGAGGCTCCCTTCAGTGGAGATGTGGAGGGGACATTCATGCGCAGTCGTGAATTTTTTCCCACCTGCAGAAAGCGTCAGTCACTGGCAGTCGGCCTATGAGTGAGGACATGTAGTGAGCGCTCGTTGGATTCCAGTAAGGTGTAAAATGACGGAACAACATGAGCAGCGATATTGCATCAAATTTTGCCAAAAGCTTGGTGATACCAAAGTGAAAACCATTTGCAAGATTCAACAGGCTTTCGGGGACAATGCCATGAGCAACTCATGGATAAAGGAGTGGTACAACCGATTCAAAGATGGCTGCACATCAGTGGACAGCGAACCGCGTTCAGGCAGACCCTCAACAAGCAAAATGAGAATGTCACTGAGCAAGTGCAGACTTTGGTCATGGAGGACCATCGTATCACAGTCCGAGAACATGCAAACGAGACAGGGGTAAGCATTTGATNACTGCCACAGATCTGGCCGCTGAGCTCCAAGTCACTCCCGACAGCTCCACAATTTCTTCAATGGTCCGTCGTCGATCTTCCTTGATGATTTCACGATTTTTTTCATAATTTTCATGTGTTCGGGCCGTGGAAGGCCGACCAGAATGAGGTTTGTCATCAATTGACATTTCACCATTTTTGAAACGGGAAAACCACTCAAACACTTGAGTTTTCCCCATAGCATCGTCCTTGTATGCCATTTTTAACATTTCAAGAGTTTCTGTTCCACTTTTCC